AGTGAGATGGCTTAAAACCTCATTACCTTGGTTTAGTAATAGCTCAACTAAGCTAGCACGATCACGTCCTATACCAGACAATGCTCACATAGCTCGGCGCTACTGCAGGTTACTCTGCAAGTCTTTACTGTTTAGACGACATCTTGCAGATCTATCATATACCTCGGTCCTCCTCCCAACAATACCTCGATTCAAGACGGCCAAACCAGGCCACTAGTAGCCTGCCTCTGACCGAACTGTCGGGATAATGGACCGAACTTCTTTACCTCGGCCCATAGTACAGCCCAACATCCAGGAATTTGCACCTAGCTCGGTCATTTTCAATAGTTGTACTTAGCTCCGGCCCAATTTTCATATAAATTACCCTCTCATATAATTTACTTATTTTTTATTACTTTGTAAAAAGACAAAAAGACCAAACTCCCAATCACACTTTAATTCATATAAGCCACCCATATTATTTATTGTTCAACTTATTTTTATTTATTTTTGTGTACATCCAAAGAAATATTCATTGTGTTTGGTTTCAATTTTCTGGATTCAATTTTTTGAAAATTGCATTTTTCGGTTTTCTTATTTTTATTTTTAGTGAATTTTTAAAAAAATTTTAAGCATTTTTTTAAAAACTTTTTTAAGACGTATCTAAAAAATAAAATATTTGTAAAAAATAATAAATGTACAAGAATGTGAAAATATATTGAATTTTCGTAATTTTTTAATATTTTTGGTATTTAATATTTTTTTATATAAATGTTATACTTTTTAAGTGTATTTATTTTAAGTGTAACTAAAAATTTTAAAAATTGTTTAAAATATTTTAAAAAAATTAATGAAAACAAAAAAAATATGAAAAAAAAAAAAATTCAATCTTCTGACAAATGAATCGTGAAGAGTGAAACTATACAAGCTAAATTAGTTTATTTCTCTCCTTTTTACGTTGTTAAATAATGATATAAAGCGTTCGTTTGAAAATTGAGTTAGCTTTTTGGTTTTTTGATTTTTTTGACTATTTTAATTTAGGCTAAAAAGTCTGATTTGGGAAGAACTTTTTAGCTTTTTTGGTTTTTTAGTTTTTTGGTGAGGTGTCCATATGTAATATTACTAAACTGCCCCTGGTATTAAATTTTGTTTTTATTTGGGCGGCTGTCCTGACAGTGACGTCACCAACCCAGGCTAAGTTTTTGTTTTTATTTTTTTACAAATAGTTTTTCATGTGGTTTTTATTTTTATTCTATTTTTAATTTCAATTTGTTTTCATTTTCTGTAAAATAATAAAAAGTGAGGTTTTATTTTATTGTCCTGTGTATTTTAAGAAATTATTTTTAAAACTCATAACCAAACACATAATTCGAAACTCCATACTACTTTCACAACTCTACACTCAAATCATAACCAAATACATAACAAAAAAATTAAAATATTTAAAAAATATTTGTATAAAATAGAGTTTGAATTTTTTTTATAAAAAATTTTAAAATTAAAAAAATTTAAATCGTAATATTTTAAAATTTAAATCATAATAAATATTTAAAAAAAAAATCGTAATATTTGAAATTTAAATCGTAATATTTAATTTTTGCCTTATTTATTTATTTTTTTGCCATATTTATTTATATTTATTGTTTTATACATTAATTATTTATTTTTTGCCTTATTTATTTTTGGGGGATGCACCAATAAATCCCAAATTAATAACTTATACACTGTTTAGTCTTAAAAATTTTCTTATAGACTGAAAGGTCCCATTATAATGTTTCAAATATCAGATTAATGTTTCGAACATTAGATTTCGAACATCAGATTAATGTTTCAAACATTAGATTGATGTGCAAATGGGACTAAATGGAACATAAGAAAACTTTTAGGACTAAATGGTTCAACTTTTCAGAAACTAAGACTTATGGGTAAATTTTCCTTTATTTTTATATTTATTGCCTTATTTAATTACGTGGCGAATGGTAATTTATGTTTTCATGTTTTCTTTTTTTAAAAAAAATTTCAATGAGCCGTATCAAACACATATGAAAATAAAAATAAAAAATTATTTTAACAACAAAATTTAAATAATTTAAATATTCAAAAAATTTAAATAGTTTAAAATGTTAATATTTTAAATTTAAAAACAACTCTACACTCAAGTCGTAACCAAACATATAAAATGAAACTCAATTAATAAATTATTGAGTTAACTCATAACCAAACACATAACTCGAAATTTCATACTACTTTCACAACTCTACACTCAAATCATAATATGTTAAATCGTAATATTTTATTTTAAATATTTAAATAATGTAAATAATCTACAAAATTGAATAAGTAAAAAATTAAAATAAATATTCACAAAATTGAAATCGAAAAAATTTAAATAATTTAAAATGTTAATATTTTAAATTTAAAAATAACTCTACACTCAAATCATAACCAAACACATAAAATAAAACTTAAGTAATAAATTATTTTTAAAACTCATAACTAAACACATAACTTGAAACTCCACAGTACTTTCACAACTCTACACGCAAATCATAACCAATACATAACAAAAAAATTGAAATATTTAAAACTATTTTTATAAAATAGAGTTTGAATTTATTTTTATAAAAATATTTTAACAGAAAACAAAAAAAATGTTTTTAATTTTTTTTTTCAACTTTGTTTGTTCTGGGAAAATGTGTTTTTTGGGAATTTTTTTTATTTTTTGTTTGTGCTGCCGCATGTCCCTCTTCATGAGAGGTATTTTCGTAAATTCCCCTGGCCGTTTATTGTTGCCAACCAACTGTGGCTCTTTTGTCCTTTACTGGTTAAATTAGCCTATTTTGGCATTTAGTGGCTAATTTAGCCCGAAAGCCTTTCCCAAACGACTCCAAAGATGGTTTTATCTCTAATCAATTTAATTCAATAGACTATGGAGGAGTTATAGTACGGGATAGACTCATCTTTAATCCAAATTTAAATTAGAGAGATGTTGGTTAGGCTCATGGAATTCATCATGAGTTTTATTTGATAATTTGAATTATTCATTTTTAAAAGTATTATGCGTATAACACTTATGATAAAAGATTGATTCGATAATTATCAAAATTTTATTTTATCATATTATCTTTAAAAAATCATAATTTAATTTAAAAAACACGCTATGCCATTCATTTTTTTTTTAAACAAATAAGAATAATGCTTGGAATCCCCTTTTGGGGTCACCCCCTCACCCCCTTTTGCCATGTGGCAGAGGGTGATTGGAGGAGTAGGAAAAAAAAGAAAAAGAAAAAGAAAAAGTAACCAATGAGAGAGAGAGGTGGTCAAGGGATGGAGGGAAAAAGGGGATGAATCATTACTCAACAAATAATTATCACTGTCATACCTTCAAAATTTCAACGTGATTGCGACAGGTCAAAAACTAAACACCATGGCATTACGTAAAGCCACCTCTTAGTGCCAATCACACTACCAAAAGCCACCTAACTTATCCAAGTTCTACCACCAACCACCCCAAATCATCCATTGCAAACCAAGCGAATGCCATATCTCCATTGCGCCCCAAACTTAGCCACCCCTAATGCCACTGCATACGACCATCGTCATGTTCTCAACATCATTGTGGAGGGCAAAAAAATAATTTCACAGAGATAATGGAGGACAAAATTGTATTTTCACATTATTTATTAGTCTGATTTGATAATTCATATATAGTCACCAAGGCTGGCCGGCATAGGCCCTCCAGGTCATAGTTTAGGGTCCCTCAAAATAGACAAAAAAAAGTGACACCCTCCTATAATAGTTAAGTGTACTATATTAAGTATATTTTAAGTCAAAAAAATAAAAAAATAAAGATGACCTAAATTAACTTAAAATAAATTGACCTATTAAAAAATTAAAAGAGTCATTCAAAATTAAAAGGGCCCATTCTCTCTCCATATCTAACTCATAACCCTAACTCTTAATTCAATTTTTCCAACAATTTGACAACAGCAACACAACAAAGCACAACGGAGCAGTAGTACAAAACATTGCACAAAAAGTATATGAGACAAACTTTAGCTTTTTGTTTGATTTAAAAAAGTACAGCGATGAATCGTTAAAGGTGGGGTGTGTGAACCTTAAAGAATTTTTAAAACATGGTGAGATTTCCGATATTGATGGAAGAGATTTATTGATAGAGTTAAAAGTCTAGAAAGAGAGATTGCCAAAAGAAGTTAACAAACCAATTGAAGTGCTCATCATCTGCAGTTGATGGCAATTTGTTTCCCAAATTAATGAGTTGTTATAGGATATTTTTGACTATTCCGGTTACAGTTGCATTTGGGGAAAGAAACTTTTCAAAATTGAAAATGATCAAAAATTACCTTCGATCAATCAAGTCACAAGAAATATTGAATGGATTAACATTGTTATTCATTGAAAATGATTTTACAAAAAAATTAGATTATGTAAGTATGATTTATTTATTTATTTCTAAAAATGCAAGAAGAACGAGGATCAAGTAATACTTATTAGTTGTTGTAATGCAATGCTAAGTATTTTTTGTGATTTTGATACAAATATTTTGTCTTTTACCTTCATTTTTTTTTTCATTGAATGAAAAATATGTGAATGGACCCTACAAATTTATTAGTTGATTATCAGCTTTAGACTCCGAAAATCTCAAGGCCAGCCCTGGTAGTCACTTGTATTTTTTGAAATTTAAAATAAAATAAAGAGAAAAATTAGATTTTATTTTTAAGCTTAACGATATGAAAATCAATTAAGATATTAAATATGACATTCTCTCTTTCTGAATAATCAACCAATATTATATATCATTGTATTCATAAAATAGATTTAAAAAACAAACTTGTAGATAATTTTTGTAAAATAAAATAAAATGATGTTATTGGATAAGTTATTGTAATATTATATATCATTGTATTCATAAAAATAGATTTAAAAAACAAACTTGTGCATAATTTTTCTAAAATAAAATAAAAAGACGTTATTGGATAAGTCATTGTAATTTGTAATTTACCCCAATCCAAAGACTCTTCATTCCAAACACCGACCCAACCGAACGCAAGACATTGAACATCAAAACCAAGTTATACTCCTTCCTTAGGATCACACATGATACACGAGGAGATAGACAGTTCGAGAGACAGACACACTGAACGAACCCATCAACACTTTAGGTCTCAATTCATCATCCAAAACCCTTTTTTTGATTCGCATCAATCAGGTACTTCAATTACGCCACCACACGCATATATACATACCAGTTGAGAATCAAATCTGTGTCTTCAATCGATCTTCAAGCTTTAGAGTTTTCAATTGTTTTAATCAGTTCTTATATGGGTTTAATTAGATTTTATTGATTCATGCCCTAATTGAACTGGGTTTTCATTCTTTGTTTGTTGGAATTCTGTGAATCAATCCCTTTTTGTGATGACATCGTCAATTTTGCATTATGTGCAAAATTTATTCCCTTTTTTAGCACCCAAATTCGATGATTTGAGAGTCTCAGATGGGTTAGTTCGCAAATTATCAGTGCCTAAACACACGAAAGAATTTATATTTGCGATTGGAGAACCCGAATCGCAGGCTGTGATATACGTACTCTGTGCTCAGAATCTGTCTGAGAGATCAGCTTTGGATGCTGAGTTTCTTATTAGGGAAATTAAACCTGATGCTGTTGTTATTCAAGTGGGTCATGGGGCTGTGGATGAGATTCAATCCAAAGATATTGAATTTAGGGTTGATATAGCCGTTCCGACTTCGTCGGTTGAAGTTTTGAAGAGGTGCTTTATTCATAAGATTAATAAAGATAAGTATGAAAATGTGGCTGGGAGTTTGGTTTTGAGAGAGATTTTTGGGATTAGTATTCATGGGCATTTCTTGGCTGCCAAAAGGGTGGCTGAAGAAGTTGGTTCGTCGTTCTTGTTGCTTGAATCTCCTTTTGTGAAATGTGGTGGGGATAACAAGTTTCCCAACGGGGAAGTTGAATTGGGAAACAAGTTCCAAGCTTTAGCCATACAGCCTAGCAGTTTGGTTCCACAAAAGTTGGGTTCGATTGTTCCTTCAAGTTCGAGGAGATTTTCTCTTACGAATGACCTTTATTTGCAGATGTCAAAGTCAATATCTTCGTATTTCACTCGATCAATTTCTGTTTCAGAGGTGGGTTCTAGCGAGTTTCAGCCAAGAGTGGATTATGAGGCCCCACCATTTGCCCAGTTGATATATCCCTTACTTGTGGATTTACACAATATTTTTGTTGATATCCCTTCGATTGGAAGGGCTTTAGCTTATGCACAAAAGATGCTTAGTGACGTGAACAAAGGAGAAATTGTTGATATCAAGCTACTATCTGATGTTTATGTTTTTCAGATTGCAGTTGAGGGATTGAGAATTGCTCTCAACAACGCTGGTCGGCTTCCTATGAACAAAATGGGTAACACGAACTCAGCTAAAACTGAGTTTTCACAGCTTGATGTTGAGGAAAAGTCGCATGCTCTTCTCGCTCAGGCCCTTAGAAGCCAGACAAAAAAGTTCAAATCCATAGTGGCAGTAATCGATGCCAGTGAGTTGGCTGGCCTTAGAAAACATTGGAACACTTCAGTTCCTTCTGAGATCAAGGACATGGTGGAACAATTGATTACAAATTGTGAAAATGACAAGGGAATTTCAAATCACAATGACAAAAAACGGTTATTATCCAATAAACCAATGGTGGCAGTTGGGGCGGGAGCGACTGCTATTTTAGGAGCTTCATCACTCTCTAAAGTTGTCCCTGCATCGACCTTCATGAAGATTGTTACCTTTAAAGTTCCCGCTTCACTTAAACTTATTTTGACCCAAACCCAAAAGGTAGTTTCTTTTGCACTTAGCAAGACTGTTGGTCCTTCAAAACTGGTAGCCCCGGGATTTGGAGCCAAAGCAACTTCTGCCTTGAAAGCAACAGCTTCTGCTGAAAAAATTCGGGTTGTGGCCCACAGTATGATAGCATCTGCAGAGAAAACCAGTCTTTCTGCAATGAGAACAGCATTTTATGAGATAATGAGGAAACGGAGGATCCGGCCAATTGGGTTTCTTCCATGGGCTACATTTGGGTGTAGTATTGCTACGTGCACAGGGTTGCTTGTGTATGGCGATGGAATTGAATGTGCTGTTGAGTCTATTCCTTCAGCTCCTTCAATTGCCAGTTTGGGTCGTGGAATCCAAAGTTTACACCAAGCATCTCAAGCAGTGAGGCAATCAGAAAGCTCCCGGATACAGAAATCTATAGAATCCCTAATGTATAGATTAAGAAAGTGAAGGGGTCAATAAAGTAAGAAAATGAAACTTTTCTGGAGGTGTATACTAGTTAATTTTCTTCTAATTAAAGATTTTGGAGGTTTTCGTCTGTACATAGAATCTAGAGCAGAGGCTTTTTGGTTTGTGATGGATGTTGATTTCATTGTCTGTTTTATTTATTTGTAGCTTCAAAGCATAGACAAGTTAGTAATGATAATTCATGAAAAATTTTGGTTGGATGCTTGCTCTATGTTGACTATCAGTCTGTATTGTTTCTATTTGTGTGAATTTTTTAAGTTCAATTCTAATGATAAGCTTCTATCTATGTGGCTAATCCCTGCCATCACCCTTTTGTGTGATAATCTTTTTCTGCAATGATATATCATAAAGTTGATGTTGTTCATCTGCTTTCTGTCTTCTCCAAATTGTGAATCTAGGAATATATTATTGGGTTGTCATCAATTGCTCATGAGCACATTTAACCTGATTTATTGCATAGTTTTCATTTAGTGAACACCGGGTGAGTGATTCCCAACTGCAGATTACACAAAGACTCAGGGATTCCAAAACTGACTTACAAATTATATCAGAAGCTAGTTTTATATTTAAAACAGAATAAAAACTTTGGTATTTTTTGGTATTCCAAAACTGACTTATAAATTATATCACATATATTTCCGCCAGCACACCTGCCTCCGAAGACGTTTACCTTTCCAATTCCTCACATCTCATCCCCCAGGAAGTCCTCAGGCGCCATGGTCACAACTTCAACCAGCTCGCGACGGTTTACAAAGACCATTACTGGGCCATCCCTTTGTAGATGTTTGGAAAGTTGCTATTTTAGTAGGCTATTTTAGTTTTTGACCATTTTAGTAGGCTAAAATTTTTGTATTTAGGAAGATGATTGGATTTTTTTGTAATTGGATGTGATGTTTGTGAAAGAAAAAATGAAATGATTATGGATATGATGTGACATTTTGTCTTATTAGTTATTTTAGCTTTTTGTGAATTTTAGCCTAAAAAAGGCTAAATTTTTTCTTGCCAAACAGCCCCTGCTCTCCTAAAAATGCTTGGGTCTGTGCAGGCTATCGACTCCTATTGAGCTTCCTTTTAAAATGACCTTTTGGTATCAGAACTTCTAGTATTTTTTTTATGAGTTATGTTGCATATTAGGAACCTTAACTGGTAAGACGATGAAATTGGTAGATGTTATGATTAGGAGGAGAGTTAGTATAGCCTGTGTACAAGAAACTAAGTGGACGGGTGAGAAAGTTAGGGAAATTGAGGGTACCAGTTTTAAACTGTATTATAGTGGTAAGGATAGACACAGGAATGGGGTAGGAATCATAATTGACAAGGGTCTTGTAGAAAATGTAGTGGTGGTCATTAGGAAATTGGATAGGATTATGTTAGTTAAACCAGTTATTGGAGGGGATATAATGAACGTTATTAGTGCGTATGCGCCTCAAGTAGGATTAGATTATCAGACTAAGAGGGATTTTTGGGAGCAAATGGATGAGATCTTACAAGAGGTATCCGGAGGAGAAACCTGGTTATAGGTGGAGATTTTAATGGCCATATAGGCATAGATAAATTAAGCTATGAAAGGGTGCATGGTGGATACGGTTTTGGTGACAGAAATGAGGCTGGAGTGACCTGGTGGTGGCCAATCCTATGTATAAGAAGAGGGAGGAGCATTTGATAAGCTTTAAGAGTGGGTCAATTAAGAGTCAAATAGATTATTTCTTAGTGAGAAAAGTAGACAGCCTAATATGCAATGATTGTAAAGTGATTCCTGGAGAGAGTCTGGCCTCTCAATATAGGATTTTGACACTAGATTTATGTTTTAAAGGGCACTGCCAAACTAGGAAGGATGGTGGGCGTCGTAGGACGAGATGGTGGGATCTAAAAGGGGATAAACTAGAAATATTTAAGAATAGAATGGATAAGAAAGATACTTGGGACTTGGAAGATGATGCTAACACCATGTGGAACTCGATGGCTAATTATATGAGGAGAATCTCAAGGGAAGTGCTTGGAGAGTCGAAAGGAACGGGACCCAGTTCTAGGGAAACTTGGTGGTGGAGGGAAAACGTTCAAGCAGTAGTTAAGGCAAACAAAGAGTGCTTTAAAAAGTGGCAGAAGGATAGAATTGAGGAAAGCCTTAAGAGTTATAGATTCGCTAATAAGAAGGTCAAGAAAGTAGTGAGAGAGACTAAGTTGAAAGCTTATGATAACTGTACGGGGAGCAAATATTCCGACAAGCCCGTATTCCTTTCTTCCAAGCTCCGTTTCTGTCCGATCACCTGCGAGCACAACAGCGGTGAGCTACCCGGCGGTGTGTGGCCGGAAAACTCCTCCAGCGGACAAGAAAGAAGCACACAAAATCCGGGTGAAGTCAGAGCGGTTTTGGCTCTCTCCATCAGGCGCGTTGTATAAGAAGTCCTTCACCGGTCCTTATCTCAAGTGCGTGGCACCCGAACAGTGTGGAGGCCTTCTTGTTTGAAATTCATGAAGGCGTTTGTGGCAGCCACATCGGGGGCAGGTCCTTGGCCTACCGAGCTATTTCGCAGGGTTACTGGTGGCCGTGCATGCAGGCCGACGCGCAAAAATATGTCCGTAAGTGCGAGAAATGCCAGAAATTCGCCCATCAGATCCACCAGCCTGCCAGGGCGGGGAAGGATAGCAGATTAGCTCGGTGAAGGCTTGGCGACTTGACGACCGGAGAAATGTTATCTCGGTCGAAGTGAGTAATCCCAGTCACGCTTTCGCGGACGGGATTAAGGGGCAATTGAGAGGGTGATTTATGATCTGGTGTTGGGCCGAGGTATCGACCGGGCAAGTTGAGAGCCCAACAGTGCATTGGGCCGAGATGATCGACTGTTCACCCAGAGATGGGCTACCAGAACTTGGGCCGGGCAGAGTTTGGACTGAGTGTGTGCCGCCCCGGGCCGTACGGGAGCTGCTCGGCCAGGAAGTGACCGGTCAGACCAGGATGCTCGGTCCGAGGATGGTCGAAACCAGACAGACCGAGAGACCGGCGCCCGGAAAGGCGCGGTCAGCCGAGGTAGTTGATTGGCCGGCGAGAAGGCCAACCAAAGGAGGAGCCCGGGCTAGGCTTTGCCGAGATGCCGCCTAGCCCGGTCCTTCATGTGTTTGTCCGGCTAGGCGCATGGGTTTGAAGCATGACATGGCCGAGGTAGAACAGCTCGGCTGCCGAGCTCCAGCTGTGAAGTCAAGCAGTTGAGGTTAGGTGGTGAATGGCATGGTTTATGCTGACAGATGGGATAGCAGAGCCACGTGTCAGGAGATGATTGAGAGTGGATATGGGGTTCAGAAGGTATAAAAGCATGCCTGCGCCCCCCATACGCAACACACGAGCATATCTATAAGGATTTCTTACACTCAAACACTCTCTCCCTTCTCTCTATTCCCTCGAAGGTGTGTGCTAACTTGACCGTCGGAGGGTTTTTCCGGCCACACACCGCCGGGTAGCTCACCGTTATTTGCTCACAGGTGATCGGATATCGACGGAGCTCGGAAGAAAGGAATACGGGCACGCCGGAATATTTGCTCCCCGTACAATTGGGTGATTGCTAGGTTGACCGGGCAATCCAAGATCTCGTTGAAGGTTTCCCAATATCTAGAGTTGTATGCCTTCAGTGTGTCGCTCGGCTCCATCTTGACACTGAGAAGGTGGTCAACTTCCTTTGGCATTTTGGTGTTTGTTTTGAAGCGCGTCACAAAAGCCTCGGCCAACTGTCGCCACCTTTCTATGCTCCCCTCCGGCAGCCTCTCAAACCATTTCAAGCCCAGCTCGCCCAAACTTGACGGGAAGATAAGGCACATAAGAGCATCATTCCGCCTATGTCCGGCCATGACCTGTCGGAAGTGGCTTACATGCATATAGGGATCGATTTTTCCATCGTAAAGCGTGAACTTAGGCTGGTGGAAGCCCGCGGGAAGCGGTGTTATTTCTATCCCCACGGAGAAAGGGGTGGCACTCAGCTTTGCCAAGTCTGTGTCTAGAAAGAGAGGCGCAGCTAGGCGAGGTGGAGGCATTCCGACCTCTTCACTGGCGTGAACCCCATAGGATAGCCGCTGGAACGCCGGCACCCTCTGAGCCTCCCGTCGGCGAGCCCGTTCCTTCAAGACTACCCGCAAATACTCTGAACGAGCGGAATAAGAATACCTCGACGTCGTCGCTGGACGTGAGGGTTGATAGGTGCTGTCTTGCGCGCTGGACTTCTCTACGTGCGCGTCGGAATCTTCAACCTTGTAACTTCTGGTGATTGAGATGGACGGAGTACGCCGCTGGCTCTGACTGCTTGAACGGCGGGGTCGGGTGCGCTCACTGTGGTCTCCCACTCCAGCTACATCCTTCCCTTTGACATGTCGCTTAAGATCCTCCATCTCCGCCGCCATTCTCCGGATGACGGCGTCTTGGCCCCTTAGCTTGTGTTCCAGTCGCCTGGCGTGCGATTCTCTCCGCCGCCGGTGACCGTCTGGACTTCGTGAATGTCCAAAGCTTCTTCCGCGCTTATCCCGCGCGTCTCTTGAATGTCCTCCTGGAGAAGTTTCCAGGTCCACTATAGGAGGAATGGCAGGATGTCCTTCTCTCCGTCTGCCTGACTTCGGGGTAACTTCGTCGATGGCGGACAACAGAAACTCATCGTTGTTCGCCATGGACGGCGATCAGATGAGCGTGGAAGACAAGGTTTTATCTGCAAAGTTCCCACAGACGGCGCCAATTGTACGGGGAGCAAATATTCCGACAAGCCCGTATTCCTTTCTTCCAAGCTCCGTTTCTGTCCGATCACCTGCAAGCACAACAGCGGTGAGCTACCCGGCGGTGTGTGGCCAGAAAACTCCTCCGACGGTCAAGTTAGAACACACACAGGGGATAGATAGAGAGAAGGGAGAGTGTTGAGTGTAAGTATTTCTCTTACCAACTGTTCATCTGTCCGCATATGGGGGGCGCAGACCCGCTTATATACCTTCTGCGCCCCAAATCTACTCTCATTAGTCTCTCGACACTAGGTGCTGCTATCCCATCTGTCAGCACAAATCACGCTGAACATCACCTAACCCAACTGCCAGCCCACTCTATTGGGAGCTCGGCAGCCGGGTTGCAGCTTCTCGGCTGCCAACAGCCATACTGCACTTCAAATCAATCAATAATACAATCATTTCTCTTTATACATTAAATTTCTACAAGATTTATGTTTTAAAGGGCACTACCAAACTAGGAAGGATGGTGGGCGTCGTAGGACGAGTTGGTGGGATCTAAAAGGGGATAAACTAGAAATATTTAAGAATAGAATG